CACTGTAAAATTTACATTTTTATTGCAAAGGCTACTGAAATAGACTTAAACACAACAACTACTTGTTCATTTGTTTACAGTTCAAGAATAATAATGATTGTTACTGTAGCTTCTGTATAATGATATGTAAAACAACTGGCAGTAAAGAGACCAGTCCAAATTAACTGGAACTCAATAATATTTTAAAACGTAGTTTAAATCAGAAACAGTCATACCTTTTCGCTCTCGAAATAAAAAGCTTCCCAGGGAATAAGTGTAACTGGACATTGCATTTTAGACAGCACAATATAAGCTGCTTCTGGGTCATTTCCAAAGTTAAACTCTGACGTATGTTCTGATCGCATATTACCAATTCCTGAAAATGTAAAAAAAATGACAGTTTTCAAAGGTAGAAGCTTTTGGTACGGACTTGAATATTCTTGAAAACAATTCACCGTATAAATTTCCGCCCATTATATACACCTCTTTTGGCAAACTTGCAAATTCTTTATCCAGCTTTAAAGCCAAAGCAATATTGGTTAATGGACCTAAAAACACAGCTTCTTGACAAATGCTCAAACTGCGATCAAAAGTCAAAAGTATTAGCGATTTAATTGAATGAGTAACTCCTACGTAAACCCAGTAGCTGATAACTCTACCACATAAGAAAACTGAAAATTTTAGCTGAAAATTCTTGCAGACTAATTTTGGTTTTTCCAGCAATAATTTAAAGGTTTTAATTGTAAACTTAATAGCGTAGCGTAAGAGTGAAAAAATAAAGTAGAAATTTATTGAAGACTTGACGAGTAAGGTCAAAAGACAAATTTTCTTTATTTATCATTTTCTAAACTTCCAAAAATCAAATGCAACAGTTCAGATGAAGATAGCGTATACTTTCAAATAGAATAGTAGGAAATCTTTGCACAGATATTGAGAATGTGTAAAGTTCGTGTAGAGAAAATAATTTTAAAAAGTTTGAAAAACGCTGATTTAGCTCATATTCTATGTAACAGTAAATTAAGTTTTGTTGAATGACATTGTTTCAGAGTTTTATTAAACATGAATCTGTTGTTTTAGAAGCCAAGAATAAAGCTGAAGAGCCGTTTTTGTAATTTGTCAAATTTCAGAAAATTAAATTTTTGGCAAAATATTTTACCGAGGCAAACTAATGTTACATCATTATGCTGTTTTAGCAGTTTTGTTAATGCTAACGATGCTGGCATTGTCTTGTCATAGTTCTCACGATCATCGGCAGTAACCTGAATTGCACAATGTTAAGCTTAAATTACTGCGAATCATTAATAGTCAAAAAAAAATTTCACCATAACCAAAAAATTAGAATAAAAATTGTTTACCGCCGGAAAATCATTAGGTTTATCACCGATACCGTCTTTGCCAAAAAAAAAGGACTCATCTACCTCACTGCCGGTTACTGCAACCAGCGGTTCAAAGGCTCCTTTGTATATCGGTACCTAAACAGTTGAAAATTACCGTGTTTCTCACTTGTTTCTCGTTCTTTCCCAGCATTGCCTTGTTCTGATTGTGCAATCTTTGTAAAAAAAAAAAATTAGTTTTGTCTATTTAAGAAAACTTTGTAAAAGTAGTATTTCTCTCCGGATTTCTTATACCATCAGCAGCAGTTAACATTGTTGCATCTGTGCAAAAAAAAAAAAAAAAACTTATTGTACTGACTGATCTTACCTCAATAAGTAATTTTCCGCTCTCAATTGCTCATTTGGTTTCAAACTTTTGCTAAGAAAAGCGACATGCAGAAAATACAAATGTCGATTCTTAATATGTACTTTCAATGTAAGACGTTACCACGAATTTAGAACGAAAAAAAAATGTCAATTAAAAACGGTAAGAGAGATTTACACAAAAAACAGGTTTTTTATAGATAATATCTATGTTCACCGAACAACCAACAAGTTTTTTTAATTGTTAATTTGATCACTTTCTACGAATTTTTTTTACAATTTTTTTATAAACTTTTACACCTTTGATTAGTTGATGCGAAAATTTTAGTTTGTTGAAAACTGGTCAAGTGTCAGACCACTATCTCAAAAATTTTAGTCAATCTCAAGTTTAAGACTAAGCTTGAAAAAGATAGTTACCTTGTTAATTGCAGTTTTCTTTACCGTCCTTTCTTTTTCTCAGAAATTATTCAATTGTTTATTTAATTTAAAAAAAGTTGCTTGTAATATTTAATGTATTTTCATTCTTCTTCTCTACTACTGTCTCATCTAAAAACTGATAATTTAAATTATTAAACAGGGATGAGACAACTGTGCATTAAAAAACATCTATAAAGCATTTGTAACCGCCAAGATTAACAGAAAAACCACACTTTTCTAAATGCCCTGACTGAATCCCACAAGATTAATTGTAACGCATGATGCCGTTCATGATCTCACGCATACTTACTTAGGTTCTATAAATAACGTTTTACCAGACATCTGACCTTGGCTTTATTAGCTCGTAGTGTTCTGGAAATATTTGTTACCACCTGATCGACGTTGATCACTCCTCGCACGGTGGTTATCGCCAACACCTAAATCAACTGGAAAATGACTGTCAATTAGAAAAAAACTGCAGACTATAGAACAGGACTGGCCTGAACGTTAGGACTTTGTAAAGCCAATGAAATTGCTCGAACATCGTCTGCAACTCCGTCTGTATCAATAATGAGCTTTTTATTACCAGGCATAGCTGCTCGTTGCCTCCACAGTTTTACAAGCTAGTCTTAGACTGCTAGACCTGTCTGGAGTTTGTAAAGAATTAGTTTACAAAGTATTAATGTCTTTGGAAAACGGAATGAGTTGGCACACTTCTCAATTACTTTTTATGCTTCTTTTTACCTTTAAGTACTTCGTTAAGCCGTATACAAAAAACAATATAACTCCGATTTTTTGTATGACTCCAATAAGTTCCACGACCTTGACAGTCAAATTCTAATAAAAAAGAAAAATAAAATAATTATTAATTAACTATAGAAGTAATACAGTAATCAGCCGTAAGTTGATGAGAAAATCATTCAAAAAATTTGCACCACAAGAAAGTATGCGGTAACAGCAGAACTGAGTAAATCGGAAAAAAGAAGACTGGGCAGATTTGAAAATTTATATCAAAGCAAAGAGCACTTTTTTTCTACAGCTGAGTACAGGGCGCCACAAATACAAAAATTTTCTAATCATTTGGGATTCTAAATATTCGAATATTTAAACGAAATGATATTACTATTAAACAGCACTACTAAAAGAGGCCTAATTTACGGTATGTAAGGCCGTAAATAAACGTCAATTTATGAAAACAGATCGAAATAAATAGAAGTTTAATTTCTTGCTTCTCTAGTATTTCAGAATTGGATAATTAAGCTTAAGGACATTTGTCTAATTTCTTTTTAAGTTACATTTGTCTTGAAAAATTAGATATTTTTGTTATAATTTGTTCATCGAGTAGTACAATTTTTCCTTTCAAATCCTGATCAACGTTTCAAAAAAATTTTTACCTATTTTGTTTAAATCTTTACAATACTCAGCAAAAAAAAAA